CCCACCGCTCCTGCCATCCCCGCCTTTGCCATCCCGTCGGTCCCTGCTGTCCCGGCCACCGCGGCCCCGCTCCCCAATCCCGCCTCTATGAGCCCGCCCACCGGCGTCACCGCGGCCCCGCCCCCTCCTGCCCCCGCCGCTTCCCCCCCGTTTCCCGCAAGTGCGGCCGCTCCTGCCGCCCCCCCACGTCCCCCTCGCCCCCTTTGCCGACACAGCGGGGCCGGCCGTGGCCCAAGTCCCGCCGCTGCTGCGTCCTTGCCGTTCCCCGCGGCTCCCGGCTCCGCGGCGCCGAGCGCGCCTGGCGCCGCTCCAGCGCAGCCTCCCGTCAGCGCCGGCCCTGCCCGCCGGGCCAGCAGCCAGCCCAGCTCCCGGCGGCTGCACGCTATGGCCCCCCCCGCAGCCGCCTCCCGCCGCCTCCCCGCCGCTCCTCCCGCCTCCTGCCGCCCCCCCGGGATCATCTCCCGCTGACGCGGCCGCTCCGCCGCCGCCCGCGGCCGTTTCCCCGCTCCTGCCGCCGCCGCTGCATGGCGGGGCGAGCCGAGCCGCGCCTTCCCCACCGCGGCCCCGCGCTTCAGAGCTGCCGGATGGCGCGGCTCCGCCCCCTCCTGCAGCCACGGGCGTCCCGGCGTTCCCTTCCACAGCCGCAGCCGCGGCCCCGTTCCCGTTCCCGCAGCTCCGCCGCCTCCCGCACCCCCCGGCCCGCGCCGCGGCAGTGACAGAACCCACGCATGCGCAGTTGCTACAAGCCCCGCACCAGCGATATCCCTCCGCGCCGACTCATCGAACCACAGCGCTGCTTCCGGGATCAGCCGCACGCATGCGCAGTTCTATCTGCACGGCCCCGCCGCCGCCCGCCGCTGCTTTCGCCGCCGCTTTCGCACAGCCCGGTTCCGGTTCCAAGCCGCTGCGTGCCGCTGTCCGGCCACAGCCGGCATCCCTGTGCCCTGTCGCGCCGCTCCCGCCGCTCCCGGGTCCGTACACGGCACCGCAGCAGGGGAAAACGGCGGCGCCGTGCACGTATCCTTCCGCGTCTCTGCCGCTGCCGGGCACCGAGCGCTCCCCCCCCCCCCTCCGCAGCGCGGGACCCTGCACAACCGATACCGAAAATGCCTCCGCGTTTTCCCCTTCCACACTCCTAGCACCCAGTGGGACTGCTTTGTGTCACGATTCGTCTGCACAGCCACATCCGTGCACACAAACCGTGCGACGGGGAGGGGGGAGGCTGGAATATGACAGCTGCTTTAATAAATACAGGGCAGAGAATTATTTCGCCCCTGCAAATGCCAGGCCTTTGATCCCAACACAAAAGAATTCGAAAAAGAACTGTTCCCAAACAGCTCCAGAGTCCCCTCAGTGTTTGGGACAGATTTCTCGACCCAAAATGAGACACTAAACGCTGAAAATTCCCCAGCATTAATCCCAAATTAGAAAACTCACAAAAATCTTTTGATAATTTTCAACTAACAGACTGGGATGAAGTCAGAGGCCAGATTTGCAAAGAAGAAAGTCTAAATCCTCTAGCTATGCCTTTAGAGCCCTCAAACCCATGGCAGCATCCCCATAAATGCAACGAACACCCTCAAAACCCTCGCAGCACCTCTTAAACCGTGTCCAAAAATCCCAAAACTGCCCCACAGTGCGTCCCAGGGCCCCCGGCCACATCCCGGTCCCTCCACAGCACTCACAGTCTGTCTCCAGTCCTTCCATCCAGTGATCCCAGGGAAAATGGAGCTTTTGAGGAGAAAAGATGTCGAAATGGAGAGGAAAAAGCTTTTTTTTCCTGTTGTTCGTGTGATGGGAAAAGGCAGGAAGCGTGAGGGGAGAAAGGGTGGGAAACCTGAGGGGAGAAGAGGGCGGAAAACCTGAGGGGCAAATGGAGGGAAATGTGAGGGGAAAAGAGCAGGAAATGTGAGGGGAAAATGGGCAGGAAATGTGAGGGGAAAATGGGAAGGAAATGTGAGGGGAAAATGGGCAGGAAATGTGAGGGGAAAATGTGCAGGAAATGTGAGGGGAAAATAGGCAGGAAATGTGAGGGGAAAATGTGCAGGAAATGTGAGGGGAAAATAGGCAGGAAATGTGAGGGGAAAATGGGCAGGAAATGTGAGGGGAAGGTGGAGGGAAACATGAGGGGAAAAGAACAGAAAGCATGAGGAGAAATGGTGGCAAATGTGAGGGGAAAAGGACAGGAAATGTGAGGGGAGAAAAGGGCAGAAAACCTGAGGGGAAAATGGAGGGAAATGTGAGGGGAAGATGTGCAGGAAACGTGAGGGGAAAAGAGCAGGAAATGTGAGGGGAAAATGGGCAGGAAATGTGAAGGGAAGATGGAGAGAAACATGAGGGGAAAAGAACAGAAAGCATGAGGAGAAATGGTGGCAAATGTGAGGGGAAAAGGACAGGAAATGTGAGGGGAGAAAAGGGCGGAAAACCTGAGGGGAAAATGGAGGGAAATGTGAGGGGAAGATGTGCAGGAAACGTGAGGGGAAAAGAACAGGAAATGTGAGGGGAAAATGGGCAGGAAATGTGAGGGGAAGATGGAGGGAAACATGAGGGGAAAAGAACAGAAAGCATGAGGAGAAATGGTGGCAAATGTGAGGGGAAAAGGGCAGGAAATGTGAGGGGAGAAAAGGGCAGACAACCTGAGGGGAAAATGGATGGAAATGTGAGGGGAAGATGGGCAGGAAATGTGAGGGGAAAAGAGCAGGAAATGTGAGGGGAAAATGAGCAGGAAATGTGAGGGGAGAAAAGGGCGGAAAACCTGAGGGGGAAATGTGAAGGGAAAAGAACAGAAAGCATGAGGAGAAATGGTGGCAAATGTGAGGGGAAAAGAGCAGGAAATGTGAGGGGAGAAAAGGGCGGGAAGTGTGAGAGGAAAATCGAGGGAAATGTGAGGGGAAAAGAGTCAGAAGCGTGAGGGGAAAATGGGGGCAAATGTGAGGGGAAAAGGACGGGAAATGTGAGGGGAGAAAAGGGCAGAAAACCTGAGGGGAAAATCAAGGGAAACATGAGGGGAAAAGAGCGAGAAGCGTGAGGGGAAAATGGGCAGGAAATGTGAGGGGAGAAAAGGGCAGGAAGTGTGAGAGGAAAATCGAGGGAAACGTGAGGGGAAAAGAGCGAGAAGCGTGAGGGGAAAATGGGGGCAAACGTGAGGGGAAAAGGACGGGAAATGTGAGGGGAGAAAAGTGCGGACAACCTGAGGGGAAAATGGAGGGAAATGTGAGGGGAAGATGGGCAGGAAATGTGAGGGGAAGGTGGAGGGAAACATGAGGGGAAAAGAACAGAAAGCATGAGAAGAAATGGTGGCAAATGTGAGGGGAAAAGGACGGGAAATGTGAGGGGAAAAAGGCAGGAAATGTGAGGGGAAAAGGGCAGGAAATGTGAGGGGAAATGGCTGACACTCCCTCAGCCGCCCGGTCCCTCCCTGCCGAAACCACGAACAAATTCTGCCTTTTAAATTTTTTTATTGATTTTTTTTTCCATGAAAAATACAAAGAGTCGAGTCCAGGGGTGGGGGCCGGGGGGGTCCCGGTCCCCTCCGAGGGGTCCCGCAGTGCCACAAGGGGGTCCCTGGGCACCTTTTGTCCCCGCGTTGGGCCCCCCAAAAATGGGCCGGGGCTGAGGTGGGGACCCCTTATTGCTACTGAATTGGGGGTCCCCTGGCCCCCCTCCCCAAATTCCAGGGCTGGATCCCTGGAAGAGGGGATGGAGGGGTCAGAGTTTGGGGAGGGGGGGTGGTGATGGCGGATCTGGACAACGGGGGTCGCTCCTAAATATTTATATTAATAATAATTAAAACTACAAGAAGCTTCACACAGGCACGACACAAAAAAACCAGGAGCCGGGGTGGGTTTGGGGAAGGGTCTGGGGAGAAAAAAGAGGGTCCCGGGGAGTGCCAGGATCAGGGAAAAACCAGGGAAGAATAGGAAATAAATGGGAACTAAACCACTGAAAAGTGAGAAATTATCCCGACGGCGAAGGGAAAATAAATAAGAATCGTAATAATAATAATAATAATAATAATAATAATAATAATAATAATAATAATAATAATAATAATAATAATAATAATAACATCAATAATAATTAATAAGAAGAATAATTAAGAATAATAACAATGATAAGGAGTATGGGGGAACTCAGGGTTGGGGCTTTTCAGGTGGGGTTCCGCCCTTTATTTTTTTTTTTTTGGACAAGGAGGCTCCAAACTCCAGCAAGTGGAGTAATTTGGGGCAAAAATGGCCCGTTTTGGAGAATTTGGGAAGGGAGGAGGGGGAAGTGTGACAAGACACATTCCCCTCCCTCCCAGTTTTGGGGGTACCAGAGCAATCCCTGGCATTTCAGTGCCACTGGCCCCCCAAAACTTGCCTTGATCTCTCTTGGGGTTCACAAAGCTGCTTCCAAGGAACTCAGGGAGCACAAAGCAGGTTCTCACCCCCTCTGGGAAAGGCGGTTTTGGGGATTTTGGGGGATATTTCTTAATATTCTGCTATAAAAATAGATGGATTTGGGCCGGCGGCTGCCGAGGAGTCGCCGCTCCCTGCGCCAGCCACGCTCCTCCTTACCTGATAACGGGTAACAGGTCTAATGAAACACCTGATTAATCCTTACTTTTTGCTCTTCCTCCCCAAAAATTCCTCCCCCTCCCCCAGAAAATGAAGGAAAAACATGGAAAGAAGGAGAGAGCGGGAAGACGCCCCCCCCGCCCCCCTTCCCCCTTGCTGGAGTCCTGGAGTGGAGGGAAGGGGGGGCACAGCCCCCACCTGGACACACCTGGATCAGGTGAGGGGGGGGCACCGCTCCAGGTGGTCCGGCCACTGCCGGAGTGGTGGGGTCGGGGTACCCGGGGGGGGGGTCCCAGGTGTGTCCACAGTGTCCTGGGGGGGCTCTCCAGGGCCCCTCCCAGTGCCCTGCAGCACCTGGAGGAGGCCTCAGGGCGCCCGTCGGGGACAGGTGAGGGTGTCCAGGTGTCCGGGCTGTGCCTCAGGTGTCCCCACACCGTCCTCAGTGGCCATGGAGGGGCTCTCGGGGGTCTCCATGGTGTCTGTGGCGCTCATGGGGGCGTCCCCCCGTGCTCTCCAAGGTCTCCAGGTGCGTTTCTCCATCTCCTGGAGACCCAGGATGTCCTTGGTGTCCATGGAAGGGGGTGCCCAGGACCTGAATTGGGTTTCTCCGTGGTCTCCATGGCGCTCAAGGGTGGACCCTGAGGTCTCCAGGATGTGTTTGGTGCTCATGGGGGGCCCTGAAGGTCCCCGAGGTCTCCATGGTCGGTTTCTCCATGGTGTCTATGGGGGGGACACTGAGGTCTCCAGGTCTTCATGTGGGTTTCTCCATGATCTCCATGGGGGTCCCCGAAGGTCCCTCAAGGTCCACAAGGTCTCCAGCTGGGTTTCTCCATGGTCTCCATGGTGCCCATGGGGGTCCCTGAAGGTCCCCGAGGTCTCCAGTTGAGTTTCTCCGTGGTCTCCATGGTGCTCATGGGGGTCGCTGAAGGTCCCTCAAGGTCCCCAAGGTCTCCATTTGGGTTTCTCCGTGGTCTCCATGGTGTCCCTGAAGACCCCCAAGGTCTCCATTTGGGTTTCTCCATGGTCTCCATGGTGTCCATGGGGGTCCCTGAAGGTCCCTGAAGGTCCCCAAGGTCTCCAGCTGAGTTCCTCCATGGTGCTCATGGGGGTCCCTCAAGGTCCCTCAAGGTCCCCAAGGTCTCCATTTGGGTTCCTCCATGGTCTCCATGGTGCTCATGGGGGTCCCTGAAGGTCCCCAAGGTCCCTGAATGTCCCCAAGGTCCCTGAAGGTCCCCAAGGTCTCCATTTGGGTTCCTCCATGGTGCTCATGGGGGTCCCTGAAGGTCCCCAAGGTCCCCAGGTTCTCCACCCCCCTTTCCCCATGGTTCCCACAGAGGGGATCCCCAAATTCACCATCCCAATTCCACCACGGTGCTCATGGAGGGGGTCCCCACATCCCCACAGGAGACCCCCACATCCCTATGGGGTGGGATAGAGCACACCAACCTCAGGCCTTGTGCTGCTTGGTGGTCTTGAAGGACACCTGCAGCACGCGCTCGCCCAGGCGGTAGCCGTTGAGGCTGGCGATGGCCATGGCCGCCTCCTCGTAGTTGGTCATGGTGACGAAGCCGAAGCCCTTGCACTTGTTGGTGGCGAAGTCGCGGATCACCTTGACGTTGGTGACGGCGCCGAAGGGCCCGAAGAGCTGCCACAGGACGCTCTCGTCCGCCTCGGGCGCCAGGTTGTAGACGAAGATGCACCAGCCCGGCCCCGGCGTGCCCAGGCCCACCCCGGCCAGCGCCGGCACCGCCTCGATGGCCAGCGGGGAGAACCTGGGCAGCAGCGACAGCGGGCTGGCCCGGGGTCAGCCGGGGCGCCCGGGGGCCCTCCTGGGCCGGGGAGGGTCCCCGGGGTGGGGTTTGGGGGGTTTGGGGGGGTTTGGGGAGTGGGGAGGGGGGGGTGTTACCTCTTCACCCCATAGGCCACGTTCAGCAAATTGTCCAGGCTGGGGGAGGAGGGGGTGTTAGAGGGGACAGCGGGGGTGGCCCTGGTGACAGGGGGGGGTCTCTGTGCCCAGGGGGGTCCCACGCCCCGAGACCCCCCCTGTGGGCACTCCCAGGGTCATTGGGGTTCCTGTTCCCACCCCTCCGACCCCCCGGGACCCCCATTCCTGGGGCTATCCCCTATTTCCAGCCACTGGAAATCCATTCTGGGGGTGTCCCCAATTCCTGGGGTGTCCCCCCATTCCTGGGGTGTCCCCCCCATTCCCAGGGATATCCCCCATTCCCAGGCCCCCAATTCCTGGGGTGTCCCCTCATTCCCAGGGTGTCCCCCCATTCCCAGTGTATCCCCCCCATCCCCAGGGTGTCCCCCCCAAATTCCCGGTGTATCCCCCCCAAATTCCCAGTGTATCCCCCCCATCCCCGGGGGTGTCCCCCCCATTCCCGGGGTGTCCCCCCCATTCCCAGGGATATCCCCCATTTCCAGGTCCCCAATTCCTGGGGTGTCCCCTCATTCCCGGGGTATCCCCCCCATTCCCAGTGTATCCCCCCCATTCCCAGGGTTTCCCCCCATTCCCGGTGTATCCCCCCCATTCCCAGGTTGTCCCCCCCAAATTCCCGGTGTATCCCCCCCATCCCCGGGGGTGTCCCCCCCATTCCCCGGTGTATCCCCCCCATTCCCGGTGTCCCCCCCATTCCCAGTGTATCCCCCCCCATTCCCCGGTGTATCCCCCCCAAATTCCCGGGGCTCCCGTGTCTCACCGGAAGCGCTGCGGGGGGGGGTGCAGGGCCCCGTAGCGCCGGGCCCCGGGGCACAGGCTCAGCAGGGCCCCCCCCGATTTCTGCCCGGGGCTGTTGGCGAACTTGACCGTGATGGGCTCGGCCGCGCCGAGCGGCTTCTGCCCGTGCAGGCCCCGCACGGCCTCCTCGGCCTCCACGCGCTTGTCGAAGCGGATGAAGCCCACGCCCCGGGACACACCTGCGCAGGTGAGGCGTAGAGGGGGTCGGGGACAGCCCCCCCAAATCCTCCAGAGCACCACAGAACCCCCCAAAATCCGCCAGAACTCCACAGAACCCCACAAAACCCACAGAACTCCACAGAACCCCACAGAAACCACAGAACCTCCCCAAAATCCACCAGAACCCCACAGAACCCACAGAACCCCCCAAAACTCCACAGAAGCCACAGAACCCCCCAGAACCTCCCCAAAATCCCCCAGAACCCCACAGAACCTCCCCAAAATCCCCCAGAACTCCACAGAACCCACAGAACACCACAGAAACCACAGAACCCCCCAGAACCTCCCCAAAATCTCTCAGAACACCACAGAACCCCACAGAACCCCCCCAAACCCCCTCAAAATCCCACAGAACCTCCCCAAAACCCCACAGAACCCCCCAGAACCCACAGAACCCCCCAGAACCTCCCCAAAATCTCTCAGAACACCACAGAACCCTCCAGAACACCACAGAACCCCCCAGAACCCCCTCCCTGCCTCGCCCACCCACAGACCCCTAAAGGCATCACTGGGTAACCCCCACAAGGGGAGCCCCAGCTCTCCAGAACCCCCAAAATTCCCCAGAATCCCCCAGAACCCCCCAAAATCCCCCAGGACCCCATTCCTAGGCATTTCCCACCCCCCAAAATCCCCCAGGACCCCATTCCCAGGCATTTCCCACCCCCAAGAACCCCCCAAAATCCCCCAGGACCCCATTCTCAGGCATTTCCTACTCCCCAGAACCCCCCAAAATCCAGGACCCCATTCCCAGGCATTTCCCACCCTCCAGAATTCCCCAGGACCCCATTCCCAGGCATTTCCCACCCCACAGAACCCTCCAGAATCCCCCAGGACCCCATCCCCAGGCATTTCCCACCCTCCAGAATCCCCCAGGACCCCCCCCCAGGACTGTCCCACCTCCCTCAGGACCCCCAGGACCCCCAGGTCCCCCCATCCCAGGGCTGTCCCCCCCCATCCCAGGGCTGTCCCCCCCCATCCCAGGGCTGTCCCCCCCCATCCCAGGGCTGTCCCCCCCCCATCCCAGGTGCATTCCAAGCCCCCCCAGCCTCACCCGTGACCTGGTCCACGAGGATGCGGGAGGTGATGATGCGGCCGTACTGCGAGAAGAGCTGCTCCATCTCCTTCTGCCCCATGGCCTTGGGCAGCCCGCTCACGTACAGGTTGGCGTCGCGGATGGACGCCGAGCTGGGCCGGGCGTAGGACACCTGAGGGGACAGGTGAGGCCCCGGCACCGCCAGGGACACGGGGACCGCGCACCCGGGGCTCGCAGCCGTCACAGAGGGACCCACGGGTGCCCCCCACCTGCCACAGAGGGACCCACGGGTGCCCCCCACCCGCCACAGAGGGACCCACGGGTGCCCCCCACCCACCACAGAGGGACCCACGGGTGCCTCCCACCCGCCACAGAGGGACCCACGGGTGCCTCCCACCCGCCACAAAGGGCCCCACTCCACCACAAAGGGACCCACGGGTGCCTCCCACCCATCACAATGGGACCCACGGGTGCCTCCCACCCACCACAATGGGACCCACAGGTGCCCCCCACCCACCACAAAGGGACCCACTCCACCACAATGGGCCCCACTCCACCACAATGGGACCCACAGGTGCCCCACCCGCCACAATGGGACCCACAGGTGCCCCCTCCACCATAAAGGGACCCACAGGTGCCCCACCCACCACAAAGGGACCCACAGGTGCCCCACTCCACCACAATAGGACCCACAGGTGCCCCACTCCACCACAATAGGACCCACAGGTGCCCCCTCCACCACAAAGGGACCCACAGGTGCCCCCTCCACCACAATGGGCCCCCCTGAAGGATCCCACATGTGCCCCCTCTCCCCAGGTGCCCCCCAGGTGCCTCCCCCTCCCCAAAGCCCCCCAGGTGCCACCCCCAGGTCACCTTGATGGTCTTGGTCTGCAGCTTGAGCCCGTTGAGGGCCCCGATGGCCCTGTCGGCGTCGCCGGCCTCCACGTAGTTGACGAAGCCGTAGCCCAGGCTTTGCCCTGGGGCACGGTGTCACCGTGTCACCGTCCCCGGGGTGGCACTGTCCCCTGCGCCCCCAGAGCCACCCCCAGCCCCGTCCCCAGAGCCACCCCGCCAGCCTCGCTGTGTCCCCTGTGTCCCCATGGATGTGGCACTCGGGGTCAGACCTGGGGGGACAGGGACACCGGGGTCATGGGGACAGGGACACCGGGGTCATGGGGACAGTGTGGGACAGGGACAGGGTCATGGGGCAGGGGGGGACACCGAATTGTCCCTGCTCCCATGGTCACCATCTATCCCTGTCCCCGCAGGTCCCCGTGTCCCCTCTCCCTTCCTGTGTCACCGTGTCCCATTTCCCTGTGTCCCTTGTCCCACTGCCCATGTCCCCACGATGTTCCTTGTCCCATCTGCCCATGTCACTGTGTCCCATCTCCCACACTTCACATCCCTGTGTCCCTGTGTTCCTGTCCCTGCCCCGTGTCCCCTTGTCCTGTCCCCGTGTCCCCATGCCCTGTCCCTGCCCCTATCCCTGCCCTGTCCCTGTGTCCCCATGCCCTATCCCTGCCCCTATCCCTGCCCTGTCCCTGTGTCCCCTTGTCCTGTCCCTGTGTCCCCATGCCCTGTCCCTGTCCCTGTCCCTGTCCCCGTGTCCCCATGCCCTGCCCCGTGTCCCCTCCCTGTCCCCGTGTCCCCGCCGGTACCGGTGACCTTGTCCCTGACGAGCTTGCAGGACTCGATGTCTCCGAGGCTGCCGAAGAGGCTCCTGAGCTCCTCCTGGCTCATGGACTGGGGCAGGTAATTCACGATCAGGTTCGTTTTGCTGTCGTCGGCCACGGGGGGGGGCCCCGGGGGGGCCCCGTTGGGCAGCGCCGCCGCCACCCCCGGGCCCGGCACGGCCACCACGGGCACGGGGACGGGGACGGGGACGGGGCCGCAGCCCGAGGGCCCCGCGGCGCTGGGAGCCTGCGCCTCCACCGTGCTCAGGATCTGCTGGGGGGACAGGGGGGTCACAGGGGGGCACCGGGGGGACGGGGACAGCGAGGGGACGGGGAAAGGGCGGGCATGGCCAGGGGACAGGGACAGAGGGATCGTGGGGACAGGGGGGTCACAGGGGGGCACCGGGGGGACGGGGACAGCGAGGGGATGGGGACAGGGCGGGCATGGCCAGGGGACAGGGACAGGGCGGGCATGGCCAGGGGACAGAGGGATCGTGGGGACAGGGGGTGTCACAGAGGGGGTGTCACAGGGGGACACCGAGGGGACAGGGACAGCGAGGGGATGGGGACAGGGACAGGGCATGGCCAGGGGACAGGGGACAGAAGGATCGTGGGGACAGGGGGTGTCACGGGGGGAACCGCGGGGACGGGGACGGGGACAGGGCGGGCATGGCCAGGGGACAGAAGGATCGTGGGGACAGGGGGTGTCACAGGGGGGCACCCCGGGGACAGGGACAGCGAGGGGATGGGGACAGGGACAGCGAGGGGATGGGGACAGGGACAGTGCGGGCATGGCCACAGCCAGGGGACAGCGCCAGCGGGGTGGTGGGCACGGGGAGGGAGGGGACAGGGCCAGCGGGAGGCGGGGACACGGCACGGGGGACAGTGACACCCGGGTGGGGCCATTGGTGGGGGGGGGGGGGACAATCCCCCCATTGTGCGGCAGCGCCCCCGCCCCTTCCCCCCCTCCCCAATAGCGCGGGGTGGGTGACAATGGCCCTTTGTCACCGGGCGATGGGGACACCCGGGGCCACCAGCCACGGCCCGGGGGGCGTGGGGACAGCGACGCGCGGGGACAGCGACACGCGCGGGTGGCTTGTGCCCCCCCCCTCCCCTCCGCCCCCCAAAACCGCCGCGGTTTGGGGAGGGGTCCGCGCCCCTCCCTCACCCGCGCGGGTCCCCGCAGGTGCCACCACCCGCGTGTGACGCCGCGTCCCCGACCGAGCGTGTGACACCTCACGGGGAGGGGGGGGGACACCGAGAGGAGGAGGGAGGGGGGGGTGGGAATTGGGGGTGGGGGGCGCACGGGAGGGGGATGGGGAGGGGGGATGGATGGGAGATGGGGGGGGGGGAGGAACCCCGCAATCCCCCTCCCCAAATCCCCCTCCCCAAATCCCCCTCCCCAAACCCCCCTCCCCAAATCCCCGTTCCTACCGTCACCATCGTGTCGCCGGTGGGGGGGGGCCCCGCACGGCCCCGAGGGCTCGGGGGGCCCGGGGGGGGGCTCCGGGGGTCGCGGCGGCGGCGGCGGCGGCGGCTCCGGGCGCTGCGAGCGGCGGCCCCGGCTCGGTCCTTTAAACGTCCTTGGGCGGGCGCGGGGCGGGGCCCCCCAAAAACCCGCCCCCCCCCCCCCCCGCTACCCCACCCCACCCCCCCCCCCACCGATATGGTTCAGTCCGCGCCCCCCCCAAAATAGGTGGGTCCGACCGTCCCCCCCTTCCCAAAAGAGATGGGTCAGCCCGACCCCCCCCCTAAAAAGGTGGTTCCGACCGCCCCCCGCACCCAAAAAAGGTGGTTCCGTCCGCGCTCCCCCCCTCCCCAAAGGTGGGTCCGACCGTCCCCCCCCCTCCCCAAAGGTGGGTTCGTCCGCACCCCCCCAAAAAGAGATGGGTCGGTCCGGCCCCCCCCCAAAAAAAAGAACCGAGCCCCCCGAGACCCCCCGGGCCCCGCCCACCGGAGGAGGAGGAGGAGGAGGAGGAGGAAGGACGGGGAGGGATGGAGAAGAGGAAGAAAGAGGGAATGGAGGAGGAGGAGGAGGAGGAGGAGGAAGGAGCGGAGCAGAAAGCGCAGGAAGGGTGGGGGGGATGGACGAGGAGGAGGAGGAGGAGGAGGAGGAGGGAGGAGGAGGAGGAGGAGGAGGAGGAGGAGGAGGAGGAGGAGGAGGAGGAGGAGGAGGGCGATGAAGGCCGCGGGCGCCGCCGCCGCCGCTTCAGCACCGGGGACAGCGCCGAGCCCGAGCGCGGCTGCCCCGAGGGGCGGCGCCCCCCCGAAATGGGGAGGGGGCAGCGCCGAGGGACCCCCCCCAGACCCTGAGGGACCCCCCCAGAACCCCCCAGACCCCCCCCAGAACCCCCCCAGACCCTGCGGGACCCCCCAGACCCCCCGAGCCCCCCGCCCCCCCCCCAAAAAAAGAACCATCACAAAAATTCCCGATTTTAATGGAGCGAGGGGAGGGGGGGTCCTGGGGGGGGGGGGGGCGGCGCAGACCCCCGGGACCCCCGACCCCTCCCCCCCCCCCGAAAAACCCCCAGGTGTCGCCGGAGTGGGGGGGCAGAAGTGACAATAAAGGGAATAAGTAAATAAATAAATAAATAAATAAATAGATAAATAAATAAATGGTGGGGGGGGGGGCGACAGGGGCACCTGGGGGGGTCACCTGGGGGGGGGACAGGTGAGTCCAGGGGGACCCAGGTGAGTTCAGGGGGGTCCCAGGTGGATCTGGGGGGCTCCAGGTGAGTCTGGGGGGGGCCCAGGTGGATCTGGGGGGCTCCAGGTGAGTCTGGGGGGGCCCAGGGTGGGCCCAGATGATTCCGGGGGGGGGTCCCAGGTGAATCCAGGTGACTCAGGGGGGGTCCCAGGTGACTCCAGGTGACTCCAGGTGGCCCGGGGGGGTCCCAGGTGACTCCAGGTGACTCAGGGGGGGTCCCAGGTGACTCCAGGTGACTCCGGGTGACTCAGGGGGGGTCCCAGGTGACTCCAGGTGGCTCCAGGTGGCCCGGGGGGGTCCCAGGCGGCCCGGGGGGGTCCCTACGTGCCGCGGGGCTCGGGGTGCCCCTGCAGCCCCCCGTGTCTCCGCATGTGCCAGGTGAGGGAGGCGCGCTGGCGGCAGCGGAACCCGCACACCTCGCACCTGCATGGGGTCAGGTGAGGCCAGGTGAGCCCGGGGACCCCTCCCCACCCACACCTGGCGGGACCCCCCCCCCCAGTCTCACTCACTGCAGGGGCGCCTCCCCCGTGTGCGTCCTCCTGTGCAGCTCCAGGTGGCTCCTGCGCTGGAAGGACCTGGCACAGGTGGCGCAGGTGAACTCCCGCACACCTGGGGGGAACGGGGGGGCTCACCTGGGAGGGGCCGGCGGGTAACGCCCCCCGCAGGGAGCGGGGGGGGGCCGGGGGGGCGCAGCGCACCTGGGGGGTCTCACCTGAGTGCCCGGGCCTGCGGCTCCGCAGGTGCTTGGCCAGGGGGAAGCTCCGCCCACAGCCGGGCTGGGGACACACCTGGGCACGGGGCCGGCGATGAACCTGGCGCAGGTGGGACTGGGGGGCACCGGGGGGGGTCAGGGGGGGTCCGGGACAGGTGAGGGGGGTCTGGGACAGGTGAGGGGGGGGTCCAGGACAGGTGAGGGGGGTCTGGGACAGGTGAGAGGGGGGTGTGGGACAGGTGAGGGGGGGGGGGCCGGGACAGGTGAGAGGGGGTCCAGGACAGGTAAGGAGGTGCCCCCCCCCTCCAGGTACCTGAACGCTGCTGAGGGTCCTGAACTCCTGCCCGCAGGTGGGGTGGGGGCAGCTCAGGGGCTCGGGGGGGTCCTCGGGGGGCTCTGGGGAGGGGGCTCGGCCCCTTCGGCTCCGCCGGGGCCTGCAGGGCCGGCTGTGACCCCCCCCAGTGAAAAAGGTGGGGACAGGTGGGAGAGGAGCTCACCTGAGCCCCCCAAACCCAGAACAAACCCTCCCCTAAAAAACCTCCCCAAACTCCCAAATCTGCCCAAATAAAGCAGTCACGGACCCCCAGAGCCCTCCCAGGGACCCCCTAAATCCCCCCTAAATCCCCCAGGGCCTCCAGGGACCCCCCCAAAGCCCCCCAGGGACCCCCTAAACCTCCCCAGGGCCTCCAGGACCCCCTAAGACCCTCCAGGAACCCCCTAAACCTCCCCTAAAAACCTCCAGGGACCCCCCAAAGCCCTTCCAGGACCCCCTAAACCCCCCCAGGGCCCCCCATAGCCCCCCCCAGGAACCCCCAGGGACCCCCTAAACCCCCCCAGTGCCCCCCAAAGCCCCCGGGCCCCCCGACCTCTCTGGCTCTTTGGGGATCTCGTAGATGATCGCCGACCCCTCGGGCTCCTCGGCTGGGGAGGGGTCCCGGGGGGGCTCCGGAGGGGGAGGGGGGGGCGGCTCCTCCTGCTTCAGCCTCAGCAGCGGCTCCTCCTCATCCTCCTCTGCCGTCAGTGGGGCTGCTGAGACCCCCGGGACCCCCCCAGCTCCCGCCCCGGCCCGGTTCTGGCCCCCAGACCCCCCTGAGCCCCAACTCCTGACCCAAAGCTCCCCAAACCCCCCATTCCCGACCCCAAATCTTCCCAATCCCATTCCTGACCCAAACCCCCCATTCCTGACCCCAAATCTTCCCAATCCCACTCCTGACCCCAAATTCCCCATTCCTGACCCCAAATCTTCCCAATCCCATTCCTGACCCAAACCCCCCATTCCTGACCCCAAATCTTCCCCGACCCCCCCATCCCCGACCCCAAATCTTCCCCAATCCCATTCCTCAACACAACTCCCCCCATTCCTGACCTAAACCCCCCATTCCTGACCCCAAATTCCCCATTCCTGACCCTAAATCTTCCCCAATCCCATTCCTTACCCCACATCCCACATTCCTGACCCAAACCCCCCATTCCTGACCCAAACCCCCCCATTCCTGACCCCAAATCTTCCCAATCCCATTCCTCAACACAACTGCCCCCATTCCTGACCCCAAATTCCCCATTCCCGACCCAAACCCCCCATTTCTGACCCCAAATTCCCCATTCCTGACCCAAACCCCCCATTCCTGACCCCAAATCTTCCCCAATCCCATTCCTGACCCCAAACCCCCCATTCCCGACCCAAACCCCCCATTCCTGACCCCAAATTCCCCATTCCTGACCCAAACCCTCCATTCCTGACCCCAAATCTTCCCCGACCCCCCCATCCCCGACCCCAAATCTTCCCCAATCCCATTCCTCAACCCAACTCCCCCATTCCTGACCCAAACCCCCCATTCCTGACCACAAACCCCCCATTCCTGACCCCAAATCTTCCCCAATCCCATTCCTGACCCAAGCCCCCCATTCCTGACCCAAACCCCCCATTCCTGACCCCAAACCCCCCATTCCTGACCCCAAATTCCCCATTCCTGACCCAAACCCCCCGTTCCTGACCCAAACCCCCCTTTCCTGACCCCAAATCTTCCCCAATCCCATTCCTGACCCAAACCCCCCATTCCTGACCCCAAATCTTCCCCGACGCCCCCATTCCCGACCCCCCCCCGCCCCATTTCCCCCCCATTTCCCCCCCCTCCCCCCCTCACCTGTCTTGCCGGGCTGTGGCTCCTCAGGTGCGGGGGCGGGGAAGGCGCCGCCCCCCCCTCCCTGGAGCAGCACCTGGAGCGCCCCCCCCGGGCCGAGCTGGAGCCCCCCCGGGCCGAGCTGGAGCCCCCCCGGGCCCGGGCAGCCCAGCAGCAGCAGGGGCGGGGGGAGGGGCAGGCACAGCACGGCCTCCAGAGCCTCGGGGGGGGGCGGGGGGGGGTCCGGACCCCCGGGGGGCGGGGGGGGCGGGGCCGGCACCGCGGGACCGCCCCCCCCCCCCCGCGGCTGGAGCCGCCTCAGAGCCGGAGCTGCTGCACCCCCCCGAGGAGGAGGAGGAGGAGGAGGAGGAGGAAGAGCCGGGGGCTGTGGGGAGGGGAGGGGGGGGGGAGAGTCAGGGGGAGGCTCCTCCCCCCCCCCCGGTGAAAAATCCCTCGGGAAACCCCAAAAATGCCATGGAGAGCCCAAAAATGTCCTCGAGAGTCCAAACAGCCCAGAAAGAACTCGGGCTGCCCCCCCAAAGACCCCCAGAGCCCATCCCTGCCTGTGCCCCACTCCCAGCGCCCCAAAGCCCCCAGACCCCACACACCAAAACCCCCCAAACCCCACACGCAGCACCCCAGAACCCCAAAACTCACATCCCCCACACCCCAAGTCACCATGCACCCCCCAAAACCGCCAGACTCCAAACCCCACAAACTCCCCACACCCCAAACCCCCAAACTGCAAACCCCTCATCCCCCAAACCCCAAACCCCACACACCCCAAACCCCAAAGCCCCCACACCCCAATCCCCAAACCCCCAAAACCCCAAACCCCCAAAACCTCACACCTCACACACACCAAAACCCCAAACCCCAAACCCCACACACCCCAAACCCCAAACCTCCAAAACCCCAAACCCCAAACTCCCAAAACCCCCCACACCCCAAACCCCCAAAACCTCACACCTCACACACTCCAAACCCCAAAGCCCAAACCCCAAACCTCACACACCCCAAACCCCAAACCCCACACACCCCAAACCCCCAAAACCCAAACCCCCAAAACCTCACACACCCCAAATCCCCAAAACCCCAAACCCCACATATCCCAAACCCCAAACCCCCAAAACCCCACACATCCCAAACCCCAAACTCCCCAAACCCCACACCCCAAACCCCCCAAACCCCACACACCCCACACACCCCAAACCCCAAAACCCCCAGACTCCAAACCCCCCCGGGCCCCCCCAGCGCCCACCGTCCTCGCCCTCGGAGCCGCTGTGGGGCCGCAGGGGCGGGTGCAGGTCCTGGAAGTAGCGGTGCCCGCGCTCGCACTGCCACACGGCCGTGGTGAGCAGCCCCAGCGCCGGCTCCAGCTCCGCCAGGCGCGGCTCGTACGGGCAGCGCTGGCCGTGGTCCTCGTACCACAGCACGGCGTGCCGCAGGCAGTTCACGTTCCGCCGGCGCCCTGAGGCGTGGGGGAGCCCGAAATGAGGGGTACAGACCCCCGAATCGGGGTATGAACCCCCAAAGTCAGACACAGGCACCCCCAGGGCGAGGGGCAGCGCTGGCCCTACCACAGCACCAAACCCCAAACTCCCAAAACCTCACACAGCCCAAAGCCAAGCTTGTGGAAGTTCATGTTTCACGTTCTGCCGGTGCCCTAAAGGGTGAGGGACCCCGGAATGAGGGGTACAGACCCCCAAAGTGGGGTCCAGGCACCCCAAAGTGAGGGGCAGAACAGCAGAGCCCCGGAGCAAGGAGCAGCGCCCTCAGAGCGAGGGGCAGAGCCCCCAGACTGGGGTAATGACCCCCAAAATGAGGGGCAGAACCCCCCAAAAATGAGGGGCAGAACCCCCCAAAAATGAGGGGCAGAACCCCCCAAAATGAGGGGCAGAACCCCCCAGAGTAGAGTGAGGGCCCCTGGGCTTCCCCCCAGCCCCCCAAAGATCCCGCACTCACTTTTTTTGCGTTTGGGTTTTTTCGGGAGCTGCTCCCAGGGTTTGCTGCGGAGAGAGAGCGATGGGAGAAGGGCCCTCAGCCTTCCTCCCCAGCCTCCCTCCTCCTCTTCCTCCTCCTCAGCCCAACCCTGCTCCTTTCCACTCCCTTCCTCCTCCTTATCCAGCCCCTCGCTTCCATCCTCATCCTCATCCTCCCAGCCTTCCTCCTCCTCCCTCCCTCCCTTGGACCTTCCTCCTCCTCCTCCCTCTGCCCGTTCTTCGTCCCCCAGGAGCGCGAGGAAGAGCAGGGAGAGGCAGGAGAGGAAGAGGGACGGAACAGACGGAAGGGGACGAGGAAGAAGAGACTGAGGAAGAGGAGGGTGAAGAAGAGGACACCGAGGAAGAGGAGAACGAGGAAGAGGAGCAGGAGGAGCAAGGCCGGTAACCCGCCCAGCGCCGCTCCAGCACCGCGGACAGCTCCCGCCCGCTCCCGCCGAGCCCCGGGCCCGCTCCGCGCCCCCAGCCCCGCTCGGGGGGACCCCGACAACGACCCCCAACCCCCCCAAACCCCTCCGGGACCCCTCCCCACCCCCCCAGCGCCCCTTCCCCCGGTTCCCCCCGGTTCCCCCGGCTCCCCCCGGCTCCCCCGGCTCACCCTCGCCGCCCGTTGCGCTGGCCCCGCTCCAGCCCCAGCAGGTAGGCCGCCAGCTTGGCGTCGCTCCATCCGCTGCGGCGCCGCAGCTCCACCCAGGGCCCGTGCGCCTCGCCCAGGTACACCCGCCGCACGTCGTACTTCTTGCGCGACTCCAGGCGCCGCCGCGCGCGGTCGGTGTCGGTCAGGCGGGGCCGGCCCCGCGCTTTGCGGCCCCCGCCGGGCTCGGGGCCCGCCCCGGGACCACCGGGACCCCCCCCCGGGGCCGCCGGGGCCGCGCTCGGCCGCGCTCATGCCGCGGCGCGCTGAGGTGACGTCACCGAGGCGTCGCGTCGCGCTGTGATGATGTCGCGGCGGCGTCGCGGCGCTCGGTGCGCATGCGCGGGACGCGCTCTGCCCCAGCTCC